ATTACCACAGGGCAATGTCACATGACTGTGTCTACCATAGCAGCCAGCACACAGTAAATGCTCAGTAAATATCTGCTTTCTTATTCTAAAAATGGAGGGGGGAAAGGCACAAAGTTAGGAACAGTTTAGTAGGAATTAGGAAGAAGGAACTTGTTTCCACTCTGCCATAGACTATGGAAATACAGATGAGGTTTTAAACTGGTGGCTCTAGAGCAGATAGATATGGTGCACAGATTTGTGTTAGCCATACAATAAAGTATGAATTGTAGTATTTACTTTTTTTTTTGTAGTTTTTGGCTGGGGCCAGGCTCAAACCTGCCACCCCCAGTATATGGGGCCGCCCGAATTGTAATATTTAAATATCAGGAGATTTCACATAAAAATCTTTATTTCTATCTTCCCTTGGAAAAAAAAAAATCAGAGGCCCTGGCAACACAGGGGCCAACATGGCAACAGTGGGCTGAAGCTGAGCAGAAGCTGTCCCATTTGGATGGGGTATGTCTCCAGTTGGACACATTTCCTACCACTACCTACTTTACTCCCAACCCAATTCACTTGTTTTTGCTTCTGCTTTGCTCCTGTTGGAATCAAGTTGTGACCATTTGTATAGTGAAAAAGGGGTCTCTACCAAAATCCAAAGACTCTGGGTTCTAGTCCTGGTTCAGTTACAAACTTGTGTATGTTGTGACTTGTATATCTAACTTCTCTGAGCTGCAGTTTCCTCATCTGTAAAAGGAAGGATTTGTACAAAATTATTTCTAATACTCCATAATTACAATTTGTCTACAATGGTGGTAATGAGCATGGGTGTGACAAAAAGTAGGCTCAGCATATTTCATACATTTCCTGAGTACAATTTCTTGAAATATTAATTTATTTTGAGGTTAATGAGTTACCTAGTAAACCTAGGATAGTCTAAAAAGAAGTACAACCCCTAGAATATCTGGGTTCATTTCTGTGGACTGACTAATCTCACTGTAATTAAAAGCTAGAAGATTGTCTCAGATAGATAAGACCACTTACTACTTCTCTTGCCCATGTTCATTCCTATTATGGAAATTCTCAGATTCCCTTTTAGGATGGTTACTCAGACTATGACTAAATGAATTCCAGAGCACAGAGCCTCAGGCTGCAGGCATTCTCAGAGTATACAGGAATGAAGTCAGATATAAAGACCAATATAAGGAAAGAATAGGTTTTGGAATTGGAAAGCAGCAAAAAAGATCCTGTCTAGACTAGTCAAAGAATATACACGTCAGTCGTGCTGATCATACTGTAACATACAGCTGCTGCTTTAGCTTTGAGTGTGGAAAGTGAAAATCTATAAATCACCTTTGAGAGATATGTTCTAAGACTGGGACAGTAAGTTTAGCCTCTTGTATATCACTTTAAAAACTATAAGCTCAGTAATTGGTTTCACTATAAATCCATTATTTAATTCATCCTCCTAAAGGCCCTTGGAAGTTGAGCAAGAAAAACTGTACTTATCAATTCTGATTTACAATTAGAAAAGCCTTAGGCCCAAAAAGTTTAATACTACACATTGACCAAAGTACTCAAGATTCACTTCAACAAATATTTATTGTGTTCTCACTGTGTGCCAGGATTTGGAGACAAGACAATGATAAATTAGTTACATTTCTTAGTCTCTAAGGAATGAACACCAACAACAAAAAAACTAAACATAAATCTCTATACTTCTTATTCTCTAAGCTACATGGGGAATATAAACAGACTTCTAAGATTTTAACTCTATTAACTGGCCCAAAGTTAGATTCAATGACTTCACGTCTTCCTTCATCCAAGAAAAACTACTTAACCCAACAAAAAAGCAGTCTAGTCTGAGAGAATAGTATAATACTCATAAACTCTTCCTATAGGACAAAAGTCACAAATAATAAATCCATCAAAACTGAATAAATAAAATATTTTATCATTATATATAAACTGAAAGGCATATACAATTATACCTTTGATGTACATACCCAGGATCATCATAAATTAATTCTCTTATGTGGCTCTACCTGTGACCACATCTGCCCCAATACAACTGGGCAAACTTGGAAGAAGCTCTCAACCAGGGGCAATTTTCCCTCAGGGGATAAGTGAAAATGTCTGGAGACATTGGTTATTATCTGGAGGACAACTTAGGAAGATATTCCTGGCATCTAGTGAGGAGAGGTCAAGGAAGCTGCTGTCCTACAATAAAGAGGACAGCCCTCATGCCAAAGACCTAGCCAAAATGTCAGTAGTACTAAGGTTGAGAAACCACAGTCTAGGTTCTCTATATTTTGACTACAGGCCTTTGCTCTGAGCCTTTTTTTTTTTTTCTTTTTTGAGACATGGTCTCTTACTTTGTTGCCTTGGGTAGAGTGCTATGGTGTCATAGCTTACAGCAGAAGTTTTCAACCTGCTTTCACAGGGGTCCCTAAGACCATCCTGCATATCAGATATTTACATCACGATTCATAACAGTAGCAAAATTACAGTTATGAAGTAGCAATGAAAATAATTTTATGGTTGGGGGTCACCATAACATGAGGAACTGTATTAAAGGGTTATGGCATTAGAAAGGTTGAGAACCACTACCTCACCCTTCTGAGTAGCTGGCATTACAGGTGCCCCCACCACAACACCTGGATAGTTTTTCTAATTTTTTAGTAGAGATTGGGGGGGGCTCACTCTTGCTCAGGCTGGTCTTGAACTTCTGAGCTCAAGCAATCCACCTGCCTCAACTTCCCAGAGTGCTAGGGTCACAGGTATATGTGTTCTGGGTCTTTTAAGGACCTCATGAAGACAGGTTTTGGCTGCTATTACAACCTGAAAGAAACACAACATCCATATTCCTTCACCTTTCTGTCAGCCCCTATGTTTCTGGCAACAAAGCCTAGTAAACTTATTATTTCAGTGAAATAAGACTCACAGGCATAAGAGGCTGACAGAAGATGAGAAGTAAACAAAAGCAAGGAAGAAAGAAGGAAGAGAGGAAGGCAGGGAGTGAGGGGCTTGGTTGTCATTTCCATAACCAAATGAAGTTAAATCAACCATCTTGGGTAGTAGACAATTATCTATTCTATTGTGAATCTGACCATCTCTAGAAACTGCTTCTTCCTACCTAAGAAACAAATCATCTATAGCACCATATTGACAAATAAAAATTAAGTAATTTAGGGACTGTGGCCATTCCATGGAGACACAGCTTATATGCATAACTGAGGCCACCTACTGGTCTTGAGTGTGGATCTCAGCTAAGTAGGCTTTAAGACTACCAACTTGAATATAAACTCTGAACTTGGACATAGATTCTATTTTAAAAAGTAGAAATCTCTAGCTCAGAAAACTTAAAAGAATATTTTCTTTTTCTTTTTTTGAGACAGAGATTCATTTTCTCCCCCTCGGTAGAGTGCAATGGCATCATAGCTCATAGCAACCTCAAAGTCTTGGGCTTAAGCAATTCTCTTGCCTCAGCCTCCCAAATAGCTGGACTACAGGTGCCTGCCACAACGCCTGGGTCTTGCTCTGGCTTAGGCTGATTTTGAACCTGTGAGCTCAGGCAATCCACCCACCTCAGCCTCCCAGAGTGCTAGGATTATAGGCATGAGCCACCATGCCTGCCCAGAATAGTTTCTTCTATCTACACACAACTCATTTCAACAAGCATTTATTCTGTTCCTTTACATATGCCTAGTTCTTAAACAACAATATTAGAGAGCTTTTATCAAATTCAGCCTAGGAAGAAAACTCTTAGCTTCTGCCTTTAAAAAATAGGGTCTTGGCAGGTTCTTAAAAAATTCTTCTATGCCAGAAGCAACTCTAAAAAGGCGGGGATACAGCATGTGAGAATTTTATGTCAAAATCTGACATAATCGAGAGACCCAAAGATGAGAACATTATATTTAGCAAGTGACTAATGGCTCTTTTTTCCAATCTATATATGAAGCAGCAATAAGATTTGTTGTGCTTAAAAAGAAAAATTGCATTTAACTGTTTGATCAATCTATTTGTCTTTACTCAGCTCAACTACGCATAGTGCAACTGCTCACTCATGTTGGAACTTCTATGGCCAAGACAGCAAGTATAAGAAGGCCAAGTGTGTTTTTAAACTTCCAGCTTTAAGTCAACATCAGTATCTCCAGTCCCACTGAAACTGAGAAAAGGCTGGAAACTCACAGCTTGGGTTTTCCATTCCCAGTTGTGATGCTGGCAGTAAAAAGGAGGAGTCAGCATCTGGCTCCCTCTCAAACAAAGCTGCTCAGCACATTTCATCCAAGAAAAAGATGCCATCCCAAGAGGCTATTCAAGATACATGTCTCTTGGATGATACTTAGGGTGTTTCATTCATCCCTGTGTTTTACTGATTTTTTTTACAAGTCTCTCTCATTGGCAGGCTAATTTTCCATAAACTCCCCCTCTCTTTCTTTTGAAATAGCACATTCTTAGAACCTTAAAATCTGTTAACAAACTTGGCAGAGCTAGTTGCTCAGAACTACATTGTGGTCGACCTAGGTTATAGTATGTCCCCATACATACCCAAAGGCAGCTTTTTTGTTTTTTGAGACAGAGTCTCACTTTGTCACTCTTGGTAGCATGCCACAGTGTCATAGTTCACATCAACCTCAAATCCCTGGGCTCAAGTGATTGTCTTGCCTCAGCCTCCCAAGTAGCCAGGACTACAGGCACTCGCCATAACACCCAGCTATTTTTAGAGATAGGGTCTTGATCTTGCTCAGGCTCGCCTCGAACCCTTGAGTTCAGGCAATGCACCCCGCTCAGCTTCCCAGAGTGCTAGGATTACAGGGATGAGCCACCATGCGGGACCCTAGTGGCAGCTTTAGTGAAGAAACTCACTAGTAAATCAGAATGTCCACAGACAGTCATTGCTACCTCTTAATTGTTTCTAGCTGAACAACTGATGTTAACAAGAAATAAAGATGAGTATAGAAAGACCAATCAGTGAGGAAAGTAAGAGTGTGGGGGTGCAGGAGGCAGAGTGCATGTACCTGGTCACGATCTCCTGCGAAACAGCAGCTTTTCATGGTACATGAGTTGAAGTAACCCTGATTGTCAAACTGAAACACAGGCAGGCGGGAGTGGATGTCATAGAGCACAGGAGGCAGGCGACGCCTCAGGGCCAGGAGTTGGGTCCCATTGCTGTTGAATCGCACACTCATGGCACTTTGTAGGGATAGGTTTCCACCGTAGCGCAAGAGAGAACTAGAAGACAGAAAGCAAAGGCATTGGGCATGAGTCAGGCTAGACAAGAATCTGAAAACTCACTGAATTTATTCTTCATGTGTGCCCAGGACTTGCTGTCAGCCTTGTATAACTGAATTTCAGCCAAAAGGTCTTTCTATGCAGTGGCTAGAGAATGAAGGTAAGAATGGCTGCTTCCTTTAAAGCAAGTTACTTATATTGTCAGTGCCTCCTTTCAATTTCCAGAATGTAAACTGCCAGTAAATTCACAAAAAAAGATAACAAAACATCTCAAAATAAAAGAACTATTAAAAAGAGATATTATTCATCAAGACCCTGGAGTATGATTACTATCCACTCCAACTAGCTAATCTTGAATGATACTTAAGTAATATATTTTTTATTGTATTTATTTATGTATTTATTTATTTTGAGACAGAGTCTTACTTTGTTGCCCTCAGTAAGTGTGATGATGTCACAGCTCACAGCAACCTGAAACTCTTGGGCTCACGTGATCCTCTTGCCTAGCCTCCTGAGTAGCTGGGACTATAACACCCAGCTATTTTTATTTTTATTTTTTTGAGACAGAGCGTCAAGCTGTCACCTTGGGTAAAGTGCCATGGCATCACAGCTCACAGCAACCTCCAACTCCTGGCTCAAGTGATTCTCTTGCCTCAGCCTCCCAAGTAGCTGGGGCTACAGGCACCCACCACAATGCCAGGCTATTTTTTGGTTGTAGTTGTCATTGTTGTTTGGCAGGCCTGGGCTGGATTCGAACCTGCGAGGTCTGGTCTATGTGGCTGGCACCTTAGCCACTTGAGCTACAGGTACCAAGCCCCAGCTACTTTTAGAGACTGAGTCTTGCTTTTGCTCAGGCTGGTCTCAAACTTCTGAGCTCAGGCAATCCATGCATTTGGGCCTCTCAGAGTGCTAGGACTACAGGCATGAGCCACTATACCTAGCCTCTTTTAAGTAATATATTTAAGAGCAATAGATACTTTATTGTTTATTCTGGATCATTTAAAAATAATAATAATTTTACTAAAGTGTTTTTTGAAACACAGTTTCACTCTGTTGCCCAGAATAGAGTGCAGTGGCATCACTGTAGCTCACTGTGACCTCAAACTCCTGGGCTCCAGCAATCCTCTTGTCTCACCCTCCCGAGTAGCTGGGTCTATGGGTAACCACTACAATGCCCAGTAAATTTTTCTATTTTTAGGAGAGACAAAGTGTCTCACTTCTGAGTTCAAGTGATCCTCCTGCCTCGGCCTCCTAGAGTGTAAGACTCTGCTTTAAAAAAAAAAAAAAAAAAAAAGAGGACTTGTTTCCCTTTATAATTCCCAATGGGTTAATACTTAGCTTTAAAATATACTTTTGTTGGGTGGCACCTGTGGCTCAAGGAGTAGGGCGCCGGTCCCATATGCTGGAGGTGGCGAGTTCAAACCCAGCCCCAGCCAAAAACTGCAACAACAACAACAACAACAAAAAGCCAGGTGCGGTGGCTCATGCCTGTAATCGCAGCACTGTGGAAGGCTGAGAAAGGAGAATTGCTTGAGCTCAGGAGTTCGTGACTCGCCTGAGTGAGAGTAAGACCCTGACTCATGAAAAAAATGGAAAAACCCAGCCGGGTGCTGGTGAGCGCCTGTAATCCCAGCAGCTTCCAGAGGCTGAGGTAGCGGGATGCCCACAAACTGGAATCTGAGGTTGCAGTGAGCTACCAAACCACTGCACTCTGCTCAGGGGCATATAGGGTGAGACTCTGTCTCAACAACAACAACAACAACAACAAAAATACTTTTGTTAATACATGTAATTTAATTTATCTAGTTTCACTAGAGAATAGGATATCCTGGTTCACCTAGTAGTCTTCTGTAGTTTCATAATGCTCAAACTTTTTTTAAAAATTCACATAGTATGGTTTTAAATAATTTTTCTTTCTTTCTTTTTTTTTTTTTGAGACAGAGTCTGACTTTGTCACTCTTAGAGTTCACAGCAACCTCAAATTCTTGGGCTCAAGTCATTCTCTTGCCTCAGCCTTCCAAGTATTTGGGGCTACTGGCACCTACCACAATGCCTGGCTATTTTTAGAGGTGGGGGTCCTGCTCTGCTCAAGCTGGTCTCGAACCTGTGAGCTCAGGCAATCCACCTGCCTCAGCCTTCCAGAGTGCTAGGATTATAGGTATGAGCACCGTGCCTCACCTTAAATAATTTCTTTTGATGACTCAAAAGATCCTTTCAATATTATTACGAATTAGGATGGTCAGGAAAATTAATAATTATACAGTGCTAATTTTAAAAGAATGTTACATATTTTCTCTCTTAAGTAGTCAGGATCCTCAATTACTTGGACATTATTTTATTATGGAGGGATGACTGCTTACTGCCCATATATAACCAAGTTCTATTTTGTATTTCAAGTTCAATTCTTAGGAGTACTGAACTACTGGTAGGAAAATGAAGTAATGTATATGTGTCTGAACACTGTAAAAATGAGTGCCACGGTGGAACTACTCATTCTGTCTCAGAGAACTTTTTGCCATGGAGAGCTAGTGGACCCTAGTAGCTTTAGAGAAAAAGTTTATAAATTCTAGAGAATCACAGCGCTAGAAAGGGCCTGAAGTTACCTAAATTAGAACCTAGCTGATTTATTTGAAACATTTTTAAGGAAGAAGTTTTTAAATAGCATTTTACCAAGTAAAAACTCAAAGAGCTATATGCCACTACAAGAGTTTTACTATTGAATGAAGATAATACACTTATTTTTTGTTTCTGGCAAGAGGGTGATAAAGCAGATGAAAAAAGAGATATGCTATGGGAAAAGGGTCCCTGAAACCATGTTGCAGGATAGCTACCAACATAGTCTGGTCATAGAAATGGCCTGGACCAACACCAGCCATAGTTAGTCCTGTGTCCACTGAACGAGTGTTCTCCCCAAAAGAAGAATGTTCTGATAGTGCAGCTATGTATGGAAACAACACTTGGGCAAACCTCTAATCCTCTTATTGGAATGAAATGAAGAGGAAAGAGACTTAGAAAACCATCTCTAGCATTCCAGAAATCAAGAAGAAGCCTGGTATCCGTTCAGGCACCAAGTCATAACTCTTGCAGAGAATGTTCTTGTAAGGGTCCTAAACACAGGCCACATTCACTTGCATAGAGGATGAATGAGAGGGCTGTTAAGAACCTAGGCATTTCCTTTCAAGGGTGCCCTGGCTGCCACAGGCATGTAGTGTCATCTAAACACAGAGCTCAGAAACAACGAAAGGCTTTCGATCTAAGATCTGCATGAAGTCTGCAAATAAACCAGCATCTGTATGATGACTAAAAGTGGGGGTTGGAAACAAACTTGGCCAGCCCCACCAGCCATAGCAGAGGGGTTGGCATCAGCTCAGACAGCCCTGACAAGAAAGCTGGAGTCTCTGGCAAATGCCTTTCCATCAGTTATCAGGAACTTCTTCTGCCCATTCTAGTCAGGCCTATAGAGGAGTCTGCCCAGGACAGGCATGTGAGCCTATTCTGTTCCCACCCAAGCTCCTTAACTCTCCATGTACAATCTGGTTGCACTTTACAGCCTGTGGGCTCCAAGAAAGTAATCAGCTTTTCTCCTGCCTATGCTTCTGGGCAGGGAACTCTGACTCCTTACCCAAACAGGGTGCATAGGAATCTTGCTCCTAGAATGTTCAGGGATGCTATTAGCAGTTAACAACACTGAATCCTTCATGTTCTGGTACAAAATTTAATTCCTTGACACCAAAAATCCAGAAAGTGAGTTACATTAACTATAATTACTCAGCAGGTGTTCCACAGCTGACCATTTCTAGTGAGATTGACAAGGAGATCGAGTTAGCTAGGGAGAAGATTAGAAGCAGTTTGCCCCTAAAGTCAAGATACAAAGATAATGTCAAAGATTCTGTAGTTCCCATTAACTTGTAAGTGAATTGAGAAAAGGTAAGATATATATCCCATGGAGTACTACTCAGCAACAAGAAAGAATAAACAGCTTCTGCAGCAACTTCCTTGGAATTGGAGGCCATTATCCTAAGTGAAAAATATCTCAGGAACAGAAAAATAAACATCACATGCTCTCACAGGATACATAGAATGGTAAAGAGGGCATTAGAGACTCAAAAGGGGGAAGGGCAGAAAGAATTGAGGGATGAAAAATTACCTACGGGGTATAATGTACACTACTTGGGTGATGGGTATACCAAAAATCCAGACTCTAATGCAGTATTAATACAATACATACATATAACAGAATTCTACTTATACTTGCTATATTAAAAGAAAAAGAAAATAAAGAAGGATATGTCAACTAGCACAGCAATAAAGTTTAAAACTTAGATAAACAAAAAAAAATTATGTAGTTCACAGTTCCAAGTACAATGTATATAAGAATCATCAAGGACTTTTAAAAAATGTATACTCTCAGGATTCCCCACCCTTGATATTCTAATTCAACCTAGAAAGTGAGCCCAGGTAACTGAATTTAACACGCAACTCTAGTTAACTGTGACGCAGGTGACTTTCAAACAATACTTAGAGAAATAGGATTCCATTTTGGAATGCTGCAGGTGAAGAGAGGAGAGAAAACAAAGTGGAGAGTAGAGAGATGACTATAGGATCAATGAAAAACTAATCAAACAATATGGCACTTTTTATAGCCCAAGTCTGTTAACAGAAGAGTTTCCAATTCCTTCTAACATCAGAATTCCACTCTACCAACAATACCTGAAATGTTTTTTCCTGTCCTCAACACATTCCCTAAAGAAGACATTCTCATTTCCTCTTGGAAAACTCAGGATGTCTATACACAACAATAATGCCTCAATCCTCACTTGCTTTCTGGACACTTAATAAGGAAAATGTCTCCACTCCTCCAGAGTAATGGCTGCAGGTACATAGTCAAATGAGATGAGCAGTATCTTGAGATAACTAGCAAAACAAATTAAAATAAGTTCAAATTAAAAATCCCTATAGAGGCTCGGCGCTATGGCTCAAGTGGCTAAGACGCCAGCCAC